CCCGCCCCGTGCAGTCAGTCCGTGGGTCAGGCAGTTTGTCAGTCAGCTGTTCTGAGCCCGAGTGTGCGGGACGCGCAGCCTGAGCGGCCAGCCCGGTTCCCGCCCCTCCGGCCTCCGCTCGTCGGCCTCCAGCGCCGCCGCGGCCCGCAACCCGGCACGCGGACCCGACAGGCCGCAGCTACCCTCTGGCGCCATGTCGCAGAGCGGAGCCCCCGGGCTGCAGGAGGAGAACCTGCAGGGTGAGGCGGGAGAAGGACGCTACGGGCGGCTGGGACGCTGTGTGGGCAGAGGGCGCCGTGAGGGCCGGGGGCGCCTTGGGGGTCGCCGTGTGCTCCGGGGCGCTATGGCGGCGGGCCGCTGGCGGCGGCGGCGTTGGGGGCGGGGAGGCCGGGCGCCTGATGTGGGAAGCGTGGGGGAAGGGTTGCTGGAGCAACAGGGAACTCGGGAAGCAGGGCGGTCGGCGTGGTCGCGGTGGTTGGCGCGCGCTACGTGACTAACCCTGCGGTGCCGGAGGGGCGCGTGTGCTGCAGGTTTGCATCGCAGCAGGGCAGGGGCGGTTGCTCTCACCGAGAAATGCTCCAGTGGGCGTTGCTCACTGACCGCTGCGGCCCTTGAAACTCCGCGTGGACATAGATGCTGTTTGGTGCTCGTCGGGGTGGGCTTCAGTTGGTGGAGAGTTAAACGCGGATGCATTCCGCTGGCGGCGTTTGGGATTGCAGGAACCAGTCATGCTTTACTGCGAGGCACGTGTTAGGAATCCGACGCCCCCATTCTGAACTGTGTCAGAGGTTCAAAATAAGGCCCTTTAAAAAGAAAAACAGGAGTCCCCCTGAAACCACCGCAGCGGGTGGGTGGCGGGTCCAGCCTTCTGCGCGGTGGTCCCTATGTCTGGCATCGTCTCTTTGACGCTGGAGGGAGTCCTGGTTGCGTGGCCAAGGCTTCAGAATGGCTTGGAAGTTTGCTCTGCGCCCAAGAATGCCAGGATCTGGGTTCATACAGTGAGGGGATCCGGTCAGCAAGTATAACAGGGCATCTTAAAATTCCTGGTTGAAGTAAAACCTCCACTTAACCGTGAACTGTGATGTAGCTGAAAGGAAGCTGTTTTCTTTAATATTCGGTAGCTCAGGCTAGCGTTGGTTTGTTTTAGCAAGCAAAACCAAAGAGGTTGCATGTTGTTGTTGTTGTTATGTGCCGTGGAGTCGGCCCCGACTCATAGCGACCCCTCCTTGGGTTTCCGAGGCAGTATCACTACGGAAGTAGGATTGCCCAACCTTCCTTCCG